CTGGGAATGCCTTTCTGCACTGCTTTTGTTCTCCAGTCTCCAAGGAGACAGCAGGAAAAGGGAGATTTGAACATCCCTGCACTTCCAGGGAGCACCCCGAGCATCCCCAGTGCTCCCTGCTCAGGTGAGGGCTGAGCTCAGGGCTTTCTTCCCTCCTCTCCCCACTGCACTGGAAAAATTCTGCTTCTCTTTAACTCCCAGAAGGGTCTAGGAAGTGTTTTGGAATGGAAATGGGGATGTGAAGGTCCCTGAGGCACTGCCACACCTGAGCCTTTATTGTTGTTTCTCTAATTCTCTGTTAGGAACCTAAATCTGTCCTGGAGCCAGGCTGGGAGAGCTGGGAGTGTCCAGGAGATGGAGAAGCTGCAGGGAGAGCTCAGAGACCCTGAAGGGGCTCCAGGAGAGCTGCAGAGGGACTGGGGACAAGGCCTGCAGGGACAGCACCCAGGGAATGGCTTCAAAGTAGGATCTGAGGGCATCTTGGGGATGAGGAATTGTTTCCTGGCAGGGTGGGCAGGCCCTGGGATGGAATTCCATCCCTGGATCCCTGGCAGTGCCCAAGTTCAGGTTGGACACTGGGGCTGGAGCAGCCTGGGACAGTGGGAGGTGTCCCTGCCATGGCAGGGGTGGAACAAGGTGATTTTTGATGGTTTTTTTTGGTGATTTTAGGTCTCTTCCAACCCAAACCATTCCAGGACTCCATGCCCAAGATCTCCAGAGGCAGGAACAGCTGCCCCAGGCTGAGCAGAGAACAGGGAACCAAAGAGATTTTTTTTAGGATAAAATTCCTGCCATGAAACCCCTCCTGTGATCCCCATGGGCCCAAGGTGTTGGGAATTTAGCTGCTAAGGACTGGAAAAGTACAAAACAGCAGCTAATTCCAAGTCCTGCACCTGCACAGACAGCAGCGTCCTTGGGCCTGGCTGTGGTAGGATAACAAACAGTGAAAGAGAGATGAGAAAAGAGAGATGGAACCCCTAAGGAATGAGGAAGAGTTCATGGTATAGTTTAACCAATAGATTGCTTGGCTTGCAGAATATTCATAAGCTTATTATTTGCCGTATAAGTGTTTGATGCTCTCTTCAATAAACTGGAATTTGCTTATCACTCATATGGAGTGTCTGAGTCTCCCCTCACCGACAAAGGCCCTCATCATTTCTCTGTGACACCAAGGAATGCTGGATGCACCAGGAGCCTGCAGCTGCTCCTCTCCCAGGATTGCCCTCCTGATTCCAGGCAGGTCCCACAGCCTGGCCCTTGCAGGAAGCAGCTGCAAAAGCTGCACTGAGCCCTCTCCCCTTCCTTCTGCCTCTCCTTGGAGCCTCCCAGGATGCATCCAGAGCATTTTTCTCCTCCATTTTTCCCTTCTCCTCTTCCATCCCAGCCACCTCCTTGCAGCTGATCCTTCCCAAGTGCCTCCCCTGCAGCTCCAATCCTTTGAGGAAGCAGCACCCACGTTTATTTTTTAAACAAAGACATTTTTTTTTTATTGCATAAATAGAGGCTCAGCTGCTTTGTACATATAAAAACAGAGATAATTTAAGTGTCACTCTGAGGTTACCCATCCTTCTTTTCCAGGAAGGCTTCATCCTGCTGGGAGGGGAATCCAAGGGTGAGGAACCTGCAGGGTGGGGACAGAGCAGTGAGAAGAGCAAGGACAGGAGCTCCTGTGTTCACAGAGCACCTCTGGAGCTCTTCCCAGCTCCATGAGGGAATTCCTCCCTCTGAATCCGAGTTTAGCAAGGACAGGGCAGCTCTGGGGAGTGGGAAGGGAATTTCTGTGGAATCAGAGAGGTTTTAACACCAAGGGTGGTGTCACCTGCTGGGCACTGAGGGTTTGTGTGGTGATCCTGGAGCTGTGGGGTTTGCCAAACAGAATTCCCTGGGATAAAACTGCACAGAACCCCAAAATCCAGGGCTGGTTTGGGTTAGAGGGATCTTAAAGCTCATCCCATCCATGGGCAGGGACATTGCCCACTACCCCAGGCTGCTCCCAGCCCTAAACAACCTTTCCTTTGCCAGGGAAGTGCCCAAAATCTGCCCCAAAGCCAAGTCCTGAACCTGCTGGAAGCATGAAAAACCCCTTTGGTTTTGCTGGGTTTTTTTTTGTTGTTTCGTTTTTGGTATTTTTGTGTGTAAATAGAAAAAAACTTTGTTCCCATGGTTATTCCCAGGGCCTCATTCCTAGGCACCATTCCCAATCCTTGGGAATAAAGGGAATAAAAGAGTGGCAGGGTGGAAATAAAACTGAGGAAAGATTTGAAGTGTCTTTAGATGGGAGGGGATGACCTCAGAAAGGGAAAGAAGATTTTATTTCAATCAAGAACAACATGACATCAAACTCCCACTGAGCTTCCAAAGGGCAGGCAGGAATAGAATTCCCATTTTGCTGCAGAACAGGGAGAAGTGAAGCAAACTGCTCCAAAAATGACAAGCAAGGCAGGGAATAGAATCCAAGCAGCAGGCAGGACTCACTCTGCTCATGGATCTGCTCCAAGAATGCAGGGATTGCTTCAGCTTTGGCAACAGAGGGGAGGAACTCGGGAATTTCAGAATGAAAATCCCAAATTTAGGGGATTTTGTCATGTTCATTTTGCTCTTTCAAGCAGAAAAAATGTGCATTTTTCTCAGGGAATTCTACATGGTGGATGTTCCACAGCAGAACCTGTCCCTTTGGGAATTCCAGGTGTGGGATTTGCCCTTTCCAGCTAACCCCTCCCCAAGCTGCAATGATTTCACTCCTCTAGAAATGGGCAGATTATTTATTTTCTCTCTTTATTTTGTGCCTTCAAGCCCAGAGCTCTGATTGCAGCATCCTGCCTGCCTGCTCCCCTGCAGTTATTCCCAATTTATCCCTGTCTTTGTGCACCAGGCAGATAAAACCAGAGAGGGAACACTGTGCTAAAACATCCTCAAACAGGACAGTGGCTCATGCAAGTCCCACAGAAAATGAGACAGCAAATCCCTGAAACATCCCAAGAGCTCATTTTGGGATCCAAGATCCAACTCAATCCCACTGGGATTAACAATGTCCATGCCAAATCAATTCCACACCTGAGGCACTCTTCACTCATCCTTCTTCTCTGCTTCTGCTTTCAGTTTCTCCTCACGTTCCCTCTTCAGTTTCTCCTCAATTTTCTTGCTCTGGTACATTTTGACTCCAGCAAAGGCCAAGCAAAGGATCAATGTTTTAGCTGCCAAAATGTACATCAGCAGTGGGAAGTTCTCCAGAGCCTGCAATGCCAAAGAATCTGTTTAGGCACTTCTGGAACACTTGGACAATTAAAATTTAACTTATAGGGATGCTCCGTATCTTCCATTCCAATATTAATGCTCCTCTCTCACCATGGTTTTTTATTTATGTGGGAAATTAAACCAGGCAGAGCAACAAAGCAAAAAAAAAAAAAACAAAACCTTTCCCTCAAGTCCTGAACTCCTTTTGCTCATTTTCCAGCAATATTTGCACCCTCTGGAGCTGAAAAAAGGGAAAAGCTGGGTATTTTAGGGAAATTGTGCAAGTGGAAAAGCTGCTGAAGAATCCTCACAAGTGAAGGATCCCTGGGGATCAGCTCTCAGATGGGATCCCCAAAAACACCCCAGGAAATCTTAACTCACAGCAATTCTGCAATGAACCTGCTGAGGAATGGAAGGGGCAGATAAATGACTTGAAACTGGGAGAAAAGGGAAAAATCCAAGGATTGCTGAATGCCTGGAGTTGCACAGACTTTTTCAATGCTGTAAAAATATAAACTTGGAGAGGAAACTGCAATGGAAATGGGTGGTGGGCACTGAGCAGCCCCCCAGGGATGGGGTGGGGTTGTTGGGGTCTGGACTGGGTGGTCCCTGTGGTCCCTTCCCAGCAGGATATTCCAAAGTTTTGTGCTAAATCTGAACTTGGAACTCCCCCTGCTCCCTCAGGATCTCCCAGGGCTGTCAGGACACATCAAAGCTCTGAATTGAGGCCAAGCCTTGTGTCCCTACACCAGCAGGGAGCTTGGAAACAGCACCAGGCCCTGTCCATGTCCCCACAGCCACAGAGGCAACAGCTCTGCAAACCCAGGGCAGGGGGAAATTTGATGTAATGAGCTCAAATTGTTAATTACAGAGTCCTGGAATGGTTTGGGCTGGAAGGGATTTCAGAGTTCATCCAGATCCATGGCAGGGCCACCTCCCACTGTCCCCAGTGTCCAGCCTGGCCTTGGGCACTGCCAGGGATGCAGGGATGGAATTCCATGCCAGCCCTGCCAGGGAACAATTCCTCATTGCCAAGATCCCACCCAAGCCATGGAAAGAGGAGAAATCCCTGATTTGGAAATCCTCCCCTGGGAGAGGAACCATCAGATCCCACACAAGCCATGGAAGCAGCAGCAATCCCTGATTTGGGAACCCTCCCATGGGAGAGGAACCATCAGGTCCCACCCAACACATCCCCATGGAAGGAGCAGCAGTCCCTGCTTTGCTGTGGGAACCTGCCCCAGCCTCACCTGCCAGTTGAAGGCCACCATCTCAGCTGTGGGCAGCCCCAGGACCAGGGGGTCACACTCCTGGAGGCACAGGGCAGGGCAGGAGCATCTGGGAGACACAGAAAACAAAGCAGAATGAACTCTTGGAAAATGGGAAAAAAAAAGGACAATTAACTCCTGGAGAAATGGAAAGTAAAGCAGAATGAACTCTTGGAAAATGGAAAAAAAAAAAAAGCAGAATTAACTCTTGGAGAAGTGGAAACAAAACAGAATGAACTCTTGCAGAAATGAGAAATAAAAGCAGAATGAACTCTTGGAGAAATGGAAACCAAAGCAGAATTAACTGTTAGAGAAATGGAAATAAAAACAGCGTGAACTCTTGGAGAAATGGAAAATAAAGCAGAATGAACTCTTGCAGAAATGAGAAATAAAAGCAGAATGAACTCTTGGAGAAATGGAAACCAAAGCAGAATTAACTCTTGGAGAAATGGAAACCAAAGCAGAATTAACTCTTGCAGAAATGGGCAATAAAAACAGAAGTAACTCTTGGAGAAATAAAAACCAAAGCAGAATGAACGCTTGGAGAAATGGAAAACCAAGCAGAATGAACTCTTGGAGAAATGGAAAATAAAGCAGAATTAACTCTTGGAGAAATGGGAAATAAAGCAGAATGGACTCCTGGAGAAACAGAAATGGAAGGAGAATTAGGCAAACTGCTAATTGCCCCCCTGCCTGGGAGGGCTCATGCCAGCAGTCCCAGCGAGCTCAGGGACAGGGCAGGGACAGGGCAGTGACAGGGCAGTGACAGAGCAGTGACAGAGCAGGGACAGAGCAGGGACAGAGCAGGGACAGAGCAGGGACAGGGCAGGACAGGGCAGGACAGGGCAG